GTTGCATTCCGCTATTTTACTGTCTTTTTCGGACACCTTAAAATAATGCCAGACCGGTGAAGCCATTTTGGCGAGCTTGGTGGAGGCCTGTCTGATGTGCAGGGGCAGATCGTTCCACAGTGTGGGAGCCTGTCTGATGTGCAGGGACAGATCGTTCCACAGTGTGGGAGCCGCTACAGAGAAGCAACGGTCCCCTCTCCGCTTTGACTTGGCACATTTAGGAGCAGTTGATCCGCTGACCTGAGAGGGTGGTTTGGCGTGTAAGGGTGTAGCAGCTCAGAAAGATAAGGTGGGGTCATGCCATTTAGGAATTTAAAAGTAAATAAAAGGATTTTGAAATGAGTCCTAAAATATATTGGCAGCCAGTGGAGCGAAGCCAAAATGGGGGAAATGGGGTCATATTTCCATGTGCCAGTTAACAGCCTTGCTGCAGCATTTTGCACCCGCTGCAGACGAGCGAGGGAGCTCACCCACCGACCCCCATGTAGAGAGAGTTACAGTAATCCAGCCGAGTGGTGACAAAGGCGTGGATTACTGTCTCAAACTGCTGTCTGGAGAGAAAAGGTTTTACTTTGGCTAGCTGCCTCGGGTGATAAAAGCTCGTTTTTACCAACGATTTAATCTGACTCGAGTTTTAGTTCACGGTCCATTTTAATGCCAAGGTTCGTAATGGTGGGCTTGGTGTACTGAGCCAAAGAACCCAGGTCTACAGAAATGGTGCTACCAAAAACCATTAATTCTGTTTCTCCTTCATTCAGTTTAAGGAAGTTGCACGCCATCCACGCCTTTATGTCCTCTAGACACTTTAGCAGTGGGCTAATTGAGTAACCCTCCTTCTTTTTTAGTGGGACATAAATCTTGCTATCAGCATAGCAGTGGAATGCGATGCCGTGCTTTCTAAGTATGGACCCAAGAGGGAGAAAATAGAGGGAGAATAGCAGGGGGCCTAACACTGAGCCCTGTGGGACCCCATACAGGAGTGGAGCAGAGGATGACTTGGAGTCACCAAGGCTGACAGAGAAATGTCTGTCCTTCAGATATGACCTGAACCAGTGTTTCCGCCAGACCAGGGCTGAGAGGGCGTCCACCCCGAGAGCGGGGGGTTGACTTGAGCCGTCCCTTTATAGATACTGTCTTCTTACGTTAGTGAGCCGGATCATTTGGCTCGGCGGGACGGCTCAAGTCAACCCCCCGCTCTCGGGGTGGACGCCCTCTCAGCCNACAGTCGCCCACAGGTGAGGAGGGAGGAGAAAACACAGGGGCCACAGGTGAACATAATAATACAATTAGACACACCAGGGAAACTAACGATAGGAGGAAAAACACAGGGAAAAGGACCAGACAATAAACATGAGGAAAACATGACAGGGAGAACAACAACACACCGAAACCTAGACATAAAAACATGACATGACATTAATACCGTGACAGCTGGTGTGTGACAGGGAGTTGGCTGGCTCCTCCCAGAAGCAGACGAGGCACACCTGTTTTCACTCACCTCTTCAATCTGTTGACATAAAAGCCCGGTCCTCTTGCCACTTTCCTGCCAGATAATTCCGTCATGTTTGACCCACCGGTGTGTTTCGCTGCTCTCCTCATCCCTGTGATCTCATTGCCTGGATTTTTGTCTCCTGTCCCTGACATTCTCCGTGCCAGCCAGCTTCCTGCCTCCACTGCCGATTACTGTGCCTCTGCTTAAAATAAACATTTTGTTTTTGACCATCTCTCTCATCTCTCTCAAGTATTTTGCTTTGGTGTCCAATATCTCTAGGCCGTAACAGAAACAGCGCTTTTAAGAGTTTTCAATGACATCCTTTTATCTACTGACTCTGGGGACTGCGTTGTGCTTCTACTTATTGATTTAACTTCTGCTTTCGATACAGTCGACCATGACATCCTGATCTCTTGCTTGGAGCAGTGGGTGGGCATTGAGGCGAAAGCCCTGGAATGGTTCAGCTCATATCTGAAGGATAGAACTTTCTCTGTCAGCCTTGGTGACTCCGAGTCATCCTCTGCTCCACTCCTGTATGGGGTCCCACAGGGCTCAGTATTAGGCCCCCTGCTATTCTCCCTCTATTTGCTCCCTCTTGGGTCCATACTTAGAAAGCATGGCATCGCATTCCACTGTTATGCTGATGATAGCCAGATGTATGTCCCACTAAAAAAGAAAGAG